TTTCCCAAAATTTGTTCTCAATTTGGTGGACTGCAGTCTCGACCTCGCATCGGTATTATCAACACTCTCACCTGGAGGCAAACCGTGACAGTGCAGGATGGGAGCTTGACACGTTAACCACTTAACTACACGGCTACGAGCACCCTTGAGTCACAGGGCATAGATGAATTTCAAAGAAGTTCAGGCCTCTGATATATCATATTTTTCGATGGGTGTGCCGATGAAATGGTATATTTGATATAGCAATCGACCAGTTACCTATTTTCGTATTAGAGTAGAGTTTCGAGACTCTCAGTAAATCATTAATATTAGATTTCTTCAGCATATTTCGTCTTAAGTGATGATTGACTTGCAGTAGAATTTTCCCACAAAGCTGAGAATTTGATTGAATTTCACATAACCTTGCTTTCCCAAAAGTTGTTCTCATCCAGGGTACACTGCAGTTTCGACATCGCATCGGTCTCATCAACACCTTCAGCTGGAGTCGAACAGCGGCAATGCATGATGGGAGCTTGACACGTTAATCACTCGACAACAATGCCAGGAATACCCCTAAGTCCCAGGGCATTAGTTAATTTCAAGGAAGTTCAGGCCTCTTGACTATATTATATTCTTGGGTGGGAGTGCAGATGAAGCAAATGTGTATCTGCTATTGCAATCGACTACTTTACTTATTTTCGTATTAGAGTAGAGTTTCAAGACTACCAGTAAATCAGTAATATGAGTGGAATTGTCGCCGAGTTATTAGCATGTCAAAATCCCATCGTGCCCTGTCGCGTTTCGACTCCCGCTGAGGGTGTTGATAAGACCAATGCGAGGTCGAAACTCCAGTCCACTCTGGATAAGAACAACTTTTGCGAATGCAAGGCTATGTGAAATTCAATGGAAACGTCAGCTCAAAGCATATCATTCTAAAAAATTCTACTACCAGTCCTTCATAACCTTATACATCTTATATTACTGATTTACTGGTAGTCTCGATACTCAACTTTAACTCAAACAAAAGTAAGGTAGTAGATTGCTATAACAAATATACGTTTGCTTCATCTGCACTCCCACCAAACTATATGATATAGCAAAGAGGCCTGAACCTACTTAAAATTCACTTATGCCCTGTGACTCAAGAAAACTAATGGCAGTGTAGCCGAGTGGTTAGTGTGTCAAGCTCACATCCTGTAGTGTCGCGTTTCGACTCCCGCTGAGGGTGTTGATAAGACCGATGCAAGGTCTTGATACTCTTCTCTAATTCGAAAATAAGTAACGTAGTCGAATGCTATAGCAAATATACGTTTACTTCATCAACACTCACACCAAAGAATATGATATAGCAAAGATGCCTGACCTTCTCGAAATTCACGAATGCTTTCTGTCTCAAGGATACTCGTGGTAGTGTAGCCGAGTGGTTAGCGTGTCAAGCTCGCATCCTGCACTGTCGCGGTTCGAATTTCGCTGAGGATGTTTATAAGACCAATGCAGGGTCGAAAATGCAGTCCGCCCAGTATAAGTACAACATTCGGGAAAGCAAGGCTTTGTGAATTTCAATGGAAACGTCAACTCAAATCATATCATTGTGGGAAAATTCTACCACCAGTCCTTCATCACCATAGACGAAATAGAGTGAATACATCTCATATTACTGATTTACTGGTAGTCTGTAACTATACCCTAATACGAAAATAAGTAACGATGTCGATTGCTATAGCAAATATACGTTTGCTTCATCGACATTCCTACCAAAGAATATGATATAGCAAAGATGCCAGGTCTTCTTTGTAATTCACTTATGCCCTTTGACTCAAGCGTAATCCTGGCAGTGTAGCTAAGTTTTTGGCGTGTTAAGCTCCCAGCCTGCACTGTCTCGCTTCGACTCGCGCTGAGGGTGTTGATAAGACCGAAGCGAGGGCGAATCTGCAGTCCACCTTGGATGAGAACAACTTTTGGGAAAGCAAGGCTTTGCGAAATTCAATAAAAACGTCAGCTCAACTCATATCATTATGGGGAAAATTATACTAACTGACCTTCATCACCTTAGACGAAAAAGAATGAATACATCTCATATTATTGATTTGCCGGTAAACTTGAAACTGTACTCTGATACGAAAATAAGTAACGTAGTCGATTGCTATAGAAAATATACACTTGCACTCTCAACAAACAATATGCTATAGCAAAGAGGACTGACCCTTCTTGATATTCACTTATGCCCTGTGACTCAAGCATACTCGTGGCAGTGTAGCCGAGTGTTAGCTTGACAATCTCCCATCCTGCACTATTGCGATTCGACTCCCGCTAAGGGTGTTGATAAGACCGATGAGAAATTCGAGACCTTAGTCCATTCTGGATGAAAACAACTTTTAGGAATGCAAAGCTATGTGGAAATCAATAGAAACGTCAGCTCATCTTATATCAATGTGGAAAAATTCTACTACCAGTCCTTCATCAACTTAGACGAAATAAAGTGAATACATCTCATATTACTAATTAACCGGTAGTTTCGAATATCTACTCTAATACGAAACTAAGTAACGTAGTCGATTGTTATAGCAAATATACATTTGTTTCATCGGCATTCCCAACAAATAATATGATATAGCAAAGAGGCCTAAACTTAATTGCAATTCACTTATTCCTTGTGCCTCAAGCGTACTCGTGGCAGTGTATCTGTGTGGGTAGCGTGTCGAGCTCGCATCCTGCACCTTATCGGTTCGACTCCGGCTGAGGGTGCTGATAAGACCGATGCGAGGTCGAAACAGCAGTGCACCCTACATGAGAAAAACATTTAAGAAATCAAGGTTATGTGAAATTCAAAGGAAACGTTAGCTCAACTCATATCATTGTGGCAAAATTAACCGAACAGTCCTTTATCACCCTATACGAACTAGGGTGATTACAACTCATATTAAACATTTACTTGTAGTCTCAACACTGTACTCTAATACGCAAATAAGTAACGTAGTCAATTGCTATAGCATATATGCGGTTGCTCCATCGGCACTCCCATCAAAGAATATGAAATTCGAAAGAGGCCAGACCTTCCTTGATATTCACTTATTCCCTCTGACTCAACGGTACTCGTGGCAGTGTAGCCAAGTGGTTTTTGTGTCAAGCTAACATCCTGAACTGTCGCGTTCGACTCCGGCTGAGGGTGTTGATAAGACCGATACGAGGTCGAAGCTGCAGTCCACCCTTAATAATAACAAATTTTGTGAAAGCAAGGATATTTGAAATTAATGAAAACGTCAACTAAACTCATATCATTGTAGGAAAATTATACAACCAGTCCTTTATCATCTTATACGAACTAGGGTGATTACATCTTATATTACAGATTTACTTGTAGTCTCAATAATCTTCTCTAATACGAAAATAAGTAATGTAGTCAATTGCTATAGCAAATATAGGTTTGCTTAGTCGGCACTCCCA